AAGATTACAAGTTTGATGATTAATTCTGTCTCAGAATAAAATACCAAACCCCTTAGTCTGCTTTCTACATAATTCTGCCGAGCACACACCAAGCAAAACAATTATAAGCAGGAGTACACACTTATGCAGCCACAGTGAACACAGCTGCACTGCAGAAATCAAAAGCAAAACACAGAAGCTCAGTGTAGTGGCTCTTCTAAATCTGACACTTGAAGTTTGAATCTCGCCCCCCCCCCCCCCCGAACCAGCGATTAAACTCAGGCCCTTCTACTTGCCAGGCAAGCGCTTATTCTACTGAGCTGTCTCCTCCACCCCATGACACTTGAAGTTTGGGCAGGTGACATTTGGCCTTTATTAGCCAGTGGCATTTTATTTACCAGGAACAGAAGCAATACAATGACTCTACCTAATTAATAATTTCCTTTGATACTCTTTAAACAATAGAACATAAATTTAAGACAAAAACGTTTTGTTTTGTTTTGCTTTGTTTTGTTTTGTGAGACAGGATCATACTACGTAATTCAGGTAGGCCTTGAACACAATTATGTAGCTGAAGCTAGCCTCAAACTCATGGCAATCCTGCCTCAGCCTCCCAAATGGTGAGATTATAGACATGGACCACCATACCCACTTAAGAACTTTTAAAATACATAATTTTATATAACATTGTTAGCTGTGTATATCAGTTTTTATAGGGATCTAGGCTATCTCAAAAAACAGTAGGAATTCATATCTTCATCAGGTAATACTAAAGAGGCCCCAGACTTTATTTTCCTATTTTTCATCCTACTTAAAAAGTAATCCTCCTAACTCTTAATATTTTTGTAAGAACTCTCAAATCTTCCAAACTTCTCCCCTCACCACTCCTCTTCAGTTCCAAAAACTTGGCAAGTTCTTCCTCAACACCAAGTCTTGCTCATACTATTCCTTCTACATGGGCCAGTCTCCTCCTGTTCCCAGCCCCCTTGTCCCAGCTCAGATCTCAGCTCAAAGATCATCTTTGATTACCTCTAAAAGGAATAATTGGGTGGCTGGGGCAGGGGTGGGAAGGAGACCTTTCATCAAACACACTTTACTATGTTCTGAGATTCAAACCATAGGAATTAGTTACCTTTGAAAACATAAATGAAATAAACAAATCAATGTTACTTCTAGGAAGTCTCTGGCCTAAACTGCTGCACACTCCAACTTGAGTGAGACATTCCTGGTATGTACATGCTTCCCAATACACTTCCATAACAGCCTTTATCACACATCACCAGGGTCAACTGTTGGCTTACAAATGAGATTATAAGGGTCGGGGATATAGCTTAGTAGCATAGCACCTGAGTTTGACTCCCGATATAAAAAAAAAAAAAAAAAGAAATAACATAAAGCCTTAGAGGGCAAATGGTATCTTCTACCTCACAATTATAACCTGAAAAACAAAGAAGATCTACACACATTGAAAGTTCAATTAGTCTTTCAGTTCTTAATGATAAGCATAACATACATATATGTTCACATGCACCTATCCTCGTGAGCTATTCAGATATCTACAAACTAAAAAAATAAGCACACATTGATTTACAGTTTTGCTACCATTATTTTAGAAATATATAAAAAGTCAGTTACATGAATAGTTAAATATTTTATCACAAAAAATAAATAGCATGTTACTTAAAGTTTACTCTTTAGTTATACTTGATTTCTGACCTTTGCTTCATAATTAACATTAATAAAGTAAAAAATAAAACTACTGAATAATAAGAAATATTTTGCCACCATGCCTGGTAACACAACAAAATCTTATTACTTTAATGCTTAATAGCTAATACTATAGAAGGATTAGCTTAGTCCTAAGGGCCTTATTAGTGTTTCTAAAACTTGACATCAATTTTTTGGCTACAGAAATAGGATATATTTGAAGATAGCATTATGGATCCAAAGAATTCGAAGAATGAACAATCTAAATTCAGAATCTTCCCTACAGAGATTCATGTTAGCCCTGAATAATTAATAAACAAGGCAATTCCAGTTCCTGAGTCTGCTAGCTCCAAAACCTACTTAATCTCAACATCATATGCCATCACCATCACCGAAGAGCAGAGCTCCTCACTAATAAAGGATCACTTTCTCAAATAGAAAATGAAGTGACAGAGGCTGGGGAGACAGCTCAGCAGCCTAAGTGCCCCGAGTTAGATCCCCGTACCTCATGCCATGCTGCCCTGAGCATGCCATGCTAGCCACCGAAACTGGGGACTGTAATCCCAGCACTAGGAGGCTGAGACAGAAGGATGACTATGAATTTGAGCTGCATAGCAAGACCCTGTACCAAAAAAATAATTAAAAAAAAAAAAACTTTTTTAAAGAAAATGAAGTAAAAAGGCTGTGCCACCAAAATAATCATCTCACAGATGAACTAAGAGCATTACCCCACATACCTATAATGTGCAGGTTGTTCACTTCATAACATTTTTTTTAATTTAATTTTTTAGAGGATTTTTTTCCATAATTTTATTGAGAAACAAATAGCAATGAGATAGTTTCAAATCAAATTGGTAGGACAGTTTCAATAATTAACACACTGCATACATTCTTCCTAGTGGTTAATTGCTGTACAAGATGCGGACATGATAGCCTATTTACAAACACCATTAGAACAAATCACTCTATTCATTAAGAGAATGTAACTATATATCTATCCTAACCACTTTGAATACACAGATACAAAATGGACATTCATCTGTATCCCCTTTTTTTGTTAAGTTCCGTTATTTGACTACTATAGGTGTGTAAACTCAGCAAAATATTCATAACATTTCATACTAAGATTCCTTTATACCTTTCGCTGTAAACTAGGGTAAGTCAGAATAAACATGTAAGAATACCAAAAGATATATGAGAAAAAGCAATAACAAAACAAACCAGAAAACCATTCTACAAAGTAATGGCATAAGTATAGCAAAGTTAGAGGTTAAAAAAGACAAAAATGGCTCATTGTTCCTATTGCTATATTTTAAAAGGTTGAGGGGTGGGGATTTAGCTCAGTTGGCATGTGCCAGCTAGCTGCCTGGCAAGTATGAATTCCTGATTTTGATTCCTGGTACAAAATTAATTAATTAAAATGTTCAACTTTTGCAGGGCATGATGGTACATGCCTCTTATCCTAGCACTTAGGAAACTGAGGAAGGTGGATTTCCATGAGTTCCAGGCCCACTTGGGCTACATAGTGAGTTCAAGCCAGCTTGAACAACATAGCAAGACCCTGTATCAAGACAAACAAAAAACAAAACAAACAAACAAAAAATGGCAATGGTCAAAAGTCAAAAAGTGGGACTGGCCAGATAGTTTAGCAGATTAGCAGGGAACAGGGTTAGATCCCCCACCCCCTCCCCCAGGGCATGCTGAGAGGCAACTGAGATTGGGCATGGTGGCATGTGCTTGTAATCCCAGCACTTGGGGGGCTGAAAACAGGAGGATCACTATGAGTCTGATCTGTGTAGTGAGACCCTGTAGACCCTATACTAAATACATTAAAAAAAAAAAAAAAAAAAAAAAGTACATCCAGGACAGGCATGGTGGTATACCTCTACAATCCCAGCACTCAGGAGGCCCAAGCAGAAGACTGTTGTAAGTTCAAGACCTGAACTATATATAGCAAGACCCTATCAAAAAAATTAAAAAGTACACTAAATTAATAAAGATGTGGAGAAACAGACCCTCTCATATATGGCTGGTAGGAGAATAAAACTTCCACAGAGCAATCTGACATAACTACCAAAATTACAGATCTAATCCACACATATTTTGATCCAGGAATTCTACTTCAAGTTTTCATTGTTTTCTCTGTGCTGTGGGGATGGAGCCCAAAGCTACACAAGCATTCTACCACTGAGATACATCCCTATGCGTTTTTGTTTTTTGTTTTTTTAAAGATAGGATCTCACTAAGTTGCCTAGCCTGGCTTCAAATTTGCAACCTCCTGCCTCTGCCTCTTGACTGGAATCACAGGTATAAGCCACCACACCTATCTCACTTCAAGGAATTTATATTAGAGAGAAATTCTAGTCGCAAAATGCTAGAATTCTATGCATGAGAAATAACGTATATAGCATTATCTACTACAACAAAAGACTGGAACAGTCCATCCATAGAAAATTGATTAAATAGATTCTATAGTTATTCTTCAGCCATTGCAGTTGCATATATGCTTACATACACACAACACATTTTTACTTTACTCATTTATATTTAAAATTTTTTGGCTCTTTCCTTGGGACCCGCCAACATGGGCCGCGTTAGTACCAAGACAGTGAAGAAGGCAGCCCGCGTCATCATTGAGAAGTACTATACGCGCCTGGGAAACGACTTCCACACCAACAAGCGCGTGTGTGAGGAAATCGCCATCATCCCCAGCAAGAAGCTCCGCAACAAGATAGCAGGCTATGTCACACATCTGATGAAGCGGATACACAGGGGCCCTGTGCAGGGTATTTCCATCAAGTTGCAGGAGGAGGCGAGAGAAAGGAGAGATAATTACGTCCCTGAGATGCATTGGATCAGGAAATCATTGAAGTAGATCCTGACACTAAAGAAATGCTGAAGCTTTTGGACTTCGCAGCCTCTCCAACCTGCAGGTCACATAGCCTACCGCTGGGATGAATTTCAAAACACCACATGGAGCTGTTTGAATCTTTTTACTATGCTGTAATGTCAATAAATTTGGGACAATGAAAAAATAATAATAAAATAAAATAAATTTTTTTTTTAAAACTACATGGGGTACAGCTTAAATAACCTTGTACAACGTCTGAAGAAACTCCAATCAGTCTTCATCTCTGAAGAAGGGAGGTGGTGGAACAGAAAAAAAAAAATTTTTATTTCCTTTTTTCATAACTTTTGGATTTTCTACTGATGCACGACAGACACAAATAGATTACTGTTACTAAAAATATGCTTTAAAAAGCAACATAACACACACAATTCATTCAGCCTTTTATGTTTAGGCAATCTCTTACCTGCTAGTTGGTGCAGGGAAGGAAAATGACAGAAGCTGATTCCAGAATGGGTCATTCTCAGAGATAGATTCTGTGCCTGATAACTTTTTTAAATACTCATTTTTAGGAAGATCATTGATCCTGCTGCTATTTGACCCCATCTTCTGGTGCAACAAGATAGCTTGTCTTTATACCTGCATTTCCACAGGACCACCTATTAAAAAAAAGAGAAAAAAATTCAGATTTGTTCAAAATAGTCACCATTCTTTTGCCTATTTATTTAAAAACTATAAACTTAATAAAGGAAATTACAGGGGCTGGTGAGATGGCTCAGTGGTCTAAAGCACCTACTTAGAACAAGCTTAGCAAAGCACAGGGACCATAGTTCAATCCCCCAGCACCACATGTCAGCCAGCCCGCCACACACACACACAAATAAATAAATAAAATTTTAAAAAAATAAAGGAAATTACATCTTCCTTTATTTATAAGTATTTTAGATACCAAATACAACATTACAAGGAAAAAAATGGAGTTAAAGTTTATCTTGGCTACATAAAAATAAATCTCTTTATTTTCAATGTATTTGATACAGGGTACCACTACACAGCTCCAAAAATAAATCTCAGTATACTTCAACCACAGATTTTAGGATGAGCACACCTTCGCCCAAGATAATCTCACAAAAAACATAATAAAGATAGCTTACTAACAAAGAGTCTGAAAAAGGGGCTCACATACAACAGAGATGATAAGGCCAGAGACACAGGGGGGTGAATGTGCAGAGAAGTTGCCATAAGCTCTGTGCACACAGGAAGAGAGGGGACAGGAACTGTCCTGAACTCCATGCTGCTGGTGCTATCAGGTCCAAAGGAGTCACCTCTAATGTCACTCTCCTCCCTTGTTGTACACCCATGGTATTCACTGACATGCATCTTTTCTTGATCCTTGACTCTTTTTATTTTTATTATTATTATTATTATTATTATGTATTTAGGACAGGGTCTATAGGATCTCACTATGTAGATCAGACTCGTAGTGATTCTCCTGTTTTCAGCCTCTCAAGCACTGGGATTACAGACATGCACCACCACTCTCTCAATCATCGGCTCAGCGTGCCCCGGGGGCAGGGCTGGCATGTGTCAATCTTATTTTTGATGACAGGTGCTATCTTAATTTATCTTTCTACCCCCCATATCTCAAACTAGCAGGTAACAAACATTTCCCAAACAGTATGCTGAAGGAATGACTGAGTAATTTTGGCTATTAAGAAAAAAACTGTTCACCAGTAGAAAGCTCACTAAATATATTCTGTAGTTACTTTTCAGCCATTAAAGACAGTAAAGTAGCTGTATATGTGCCTACATATACAAGACACGTTTTACTTAACTTACCATTTATATTTGGTTTTGAAAGACGACATGGGCTATAGCTTAAATAACCTTGTACTAGGTCTGAGGGAGTCCAAAGAAATTGCTGCTAGCCTCACCTCTGGAGAAGGGGGGTGGTACAGCAGGGGAAGGAAGAAAATGTATTTCCTACTACATGGTCCAGTTACACTGCCTTCCTCAACTCACACTTGAGGCAGAACAAGAAAATGGTAACAAGATGGATAATAATTACACTATTTTCACAAAGAAAAAAAAACAATGTGGGCTCAGTGGCAAGACAAAGCTCGAGTCAGATGAAATTTTTTATTAGCGACTAACTTTTGACTTTACTTAATAATGACTTTACTTTTATTAGGGACTTTACTTATGCCCCTCTTCATTTCATGAAAGTACTAGTTGGAATTTCTATGTTCTCTTCAGAAGTGAAATGAATTGCTTATCAGAGGACACAGGCTTCCCCCAGTATACATGCACAGCTAGGTTGTTGGACCAGAGTGAAAAACACTGCTCTGCTCCTCATTACCGGCACCTCAGCCCAATGCCTCAGTCCCTAATCATGGGGACAGGGGCCCCAAGAAGCGAAAAGAAGGGAGGGGAGGGGAAGGAAAGGGATGAGAAGGGGGGGAAGGGAGAAACACTGTAAAACATGCAAACAGTTTACAGACATATTTATGAATATACTAATATCTAACATAATAGTAAAACACATGGGGAAAACAAGCAAATTCTAATATCAGAAAGGTCAGAGTTTTTCAGGACTCTTTGTAAGGGTATCTGGAAGTAATCTGCACCAAGCCAGCAGCTGCAATAACTACAGTTTCAACTTCAACTCCACGATGTTTCCCTTGGCCAAAAATGCATTAGGTTGTTTTCCAGTTCGAAGCATTCCACAAATGGTAACAAGGCAGAGCCACCAGAAATGTACACCTGAGCTCCATGACAAATATGGTAATGCTGTATTAGTTGGTGGAGCCATGTTCTATATTGCTGCATGGAACTACACAGCAACACAAATTGGATAGAATGGAACCTTTCCCCTGTTGGCAGAGTCCCCACCAAGGAATGCAGAGATCAGTAATCATACCAGCTGATACGATACAGCTAAATTATTTCTAAATGAACATAACTGATGCCAAGTAAAAGCGCTGGGTATCCATTAAAATATGGCCTATTGAAGAAATAAAGTACAACTGAAATCTTAAAAAAAAAAAAAAAAAAGGTCAGAGAGAGGGACAGGAGTATCAGTAAATACTTCAAGGAACAGGGAGCCAGACTAGCATTTACAAAGCAATGGATTCGATCGCCAGCACTGCAGAGAGGTATAGACAGCAAGAAAAAAAAAAAAAAAAAACAGAAAAATCAAGTATAAAAAGTAAAATTTACATTTGTTGAAATAAACAGTACTTACATGGTTTTTTGTTATATATAACTCTGTTTCCAACTGTTGTGTTTATTTTTAAAAAGAAAAGATTGGTTTCTCAACTTTTAGAGGCAGTACTGGAAGCTAGATGACAGGCAAGCAATGGCATTAAAATTTACAAGGAAAACACCACCAGAAATCCAGAGTTAGCCAATTTACCAAGTATATAGACAGAAGAAAGGCATCTTCTGACTTGCCAAGATTCAAGACACCTCCCAGGCACTCCATCTTCAGGAAGCTATGGAAGATGTACTCTCTCCATATGAAAAAAGGCAAGAAAAAGGAAGACAAAATTCAGGAAACATGTATTCAACAGAGGGCAGTGATGAAGTGAAGCCACAGAACCACAGCTGTGTCGCAGCTGAATGAGCTTCCAGGACCTCAGGAAGAAAAACTAGAACTAATAGGTCACTTGATCTGTCTGACTTCATTATGTGGAGTATTACAATATTCTAGGGAAATCTGGAATTGATAAAAAAAAAAAAAAAGTCACCTAGGAAACACAGCAAATTGAATTTTTAAAGACTTACATACGTTAGCTGGGCATGGTGGCACAGGCCTGTAATCAATCCCTACACACTGACAGATAGAAGGAAGAGAATCAAAAGTTCTAGCCCAGCCTGGGCAACAAAGCAACTTAGAGACACTGGCTCAAAATGAAAAAATAAAGCAGCCAGAGAGAGTTCTGAGGTCTAAGCATCTGCCTGGCAAGCACCAAAACCCCTGGTATTGCATGCCCTGCCAGCTAGCCCTGAGCCAGCCGCTGAGACCAGGCCTGTAATTCCAGTGCTGGGGAGGCAAAATCAGGAGGATCACTACGTCTGAGCTGCATAGCAAGACCCTGTGCCAAATACACAAAATTTTTTTTTAAAAGTGGTTAATACTATTCTTTGAAAAAATATCTTAAAGGTTTATAAATGCTTGAAATGTCACATAAAGGCTGATTTCTAAAATATAAAATAAATAAAACAATATTTATTTATATATACAAAAAAACTGGGTTCATTCCCTAGTACCACCACCACTACTCAAAAAATAAATAGACTAGGTACTTTAGGAAAATCAAAAATTGTTCAACAAAGGTCATGTAATAAGACTCAATTCAACAATAATCAATATTTACATTGAACTAAGCACTACCGTATAAACAGTAAATAAAAATTTAACCAAAAATTCAGAGGTAACTAAATTGCAAAGATTATAGAAAAAGTGGGAGTAATCTAAAAGTGTCTCATTTTCATCTTCCATAACAGGTAGGAAGTCAAAGAAAATATCTAAATTACTAATTTTTTTAAATGTATAGATTGAATAAATAAGAAGTTAAAACAATAAGGACAATAGATGATAAATTTGAAAGTGACTTTCCCTGTGGAGAAGAAGACTCCCAAAGAGGAAGGGAGGTAGTGCAATTTTTTTGAAGCCTGTCATATTATTTGATTTCTTTAAAGAAAACTTTGTCTATATGCCATATACAGGTGGTGGCGCACACCTGTAACCCCAACATTTACCAGACTGAAACACAAGCATCTCTGCACATTCAGGGCCAGTCTGAATTGCATACAAAAAGAACCTGTCTCAAAAGAACTACTAAACTCCTCCAACACCAGACTTCCTACTCTGATTTAAATTTTTATCATACAGCAATTAACCACTAGGAAGAATGTATGCAATGTGTTACTTATTGAGAAACTGTCCTACCAATTTGGTTTGAAACTGTCTCATTGCTATTTCTCAATAAAATTATGGAAATAAATAAATTTTTATCATACACAAAACAGGATATCACCACTGTAAGGAAAGCAGTAACAAAAATAAGAATCTTTATTGAGGCACATAACTAATAATGTTTTTCAAAAGACTATGTTTAGGGCTGGGGAGATAACTCAGTGGCATAAGCACCTACCTGGCAAGCTCTAGGTCCTGAGTTCAATCCCTAGTACTGAAAAAAATAAACAACTATGACTGATATAGTTTAATGTCATACATATACATTACAATTGCTATATCCCAAAATACAAATTTAAAATTCCCACCACTCTATAAGTTTACAAACAAGCCACAGTTAGTGGTTCGTCAGAAAAAAGAAATTAAATTCAACCCTTCAGTAGTGACAGACATACCAAATAGAAAACTCTGAAAATAAACCCATGGAAATGCAGCCAACTGATTTTTGTAAATGATGCAAACACAATTCAATAGTAGATGGACAAATGCTGTTTTAAACAAATGGTACTAGAATATGTGGTCAATAATAGGGTGAGGGCCAGGGAGATGGCTAAGTAGAATAAGCACTTCCCTGGCAAGTGCAAGGGTCTGAGTCCAATCCCTGGTTCTGCCAAAAAAAAAAATAATAATAATAATAATAACAGGATGAAGGACAGCACATTGACTTAACCCTCAGAT